TTCATGTGATCTGGTTTATCTGAAGGTTCACTCGTTGGGTTCCTATGGTTAAATGGAGTCTTGTCTGCAGAGTCTATCCAGCTTTCATGGGAGTTAAGCCAGAGAATAGTTCTGTTTATTACAGTTCCAATATGTATGCTTGTTATGAGTATTTACGCTTTCTGCTTAAACTTAACTACTACATTCGATCACTTTACTAACCTTGGTCATTCATCACAATGCAGTCATTTAGATTCCATGGCTGCAGATGCAGAGAACTGTGGCTCTCACCTCATCTTTACTCAGGTCTTTCTTTTGGACTGGCGCTATTATGAATGCAGTCTCTATCAAGCTGGTCATGGTCATTCTCCCATTCGAGTTCTAGGTAAGATTCGGCTCAATGCTCAACAGGCATCTTTAAGCTATAATTAAGGCTTGTTTATTTTGGCATCTACTGGTGGTGGTTCATTCTGTTTCCTCATACCTATTGGCTTCAGTCTTACTTGGCCTATTGTAGCCTTCACATTACACGGACTATTGTGGCCCTTCACATAACTCTGCTATGGTGGTCATCAGGTAAGTTTGACCATTGCTGTTTATGAAGTTTGGCCTATTGTGGCCTTCACATATCACGGCCTATCGGGGCCTTCGCATAACATTGAGTATTTCTTCTACTGACGGTCATGCTGATCTGGCTCTTTTTCTATTTTGGGGGGGGGAGAGGTCTCCTCTGTGGGTTCCGGCAGTTAGATGGAGTTCTATCAAGTGTGTGCAGGAGTCTAGCCTAAAGAATGTTTATTATATATCTGTGTATATGCTCCATCGCAAAATTGGCCTGTAATGGCTTTTCTCATTACATGAATTACGCTGTCTTTCTGTGATAAATGGTTTAATGCGGCCTGTCATAAAATAGCTCATACAGTCATTCGTTTGTAAATATTTATTATTTATGCCTTTTGTTATAAATTGAATGCAGTATGTTTAAGGTAAATTAAGCAAACACTGGTGGTGGTGTCACAACTATTCATTACATCTTTCACGGCCTTCCATCACGGCTTTTAGGGGCTGGCCTCTTGTAGCCTTTCTCTCATGGCCTATCATGACCTTTCTCTCTGCGGCCTATCGTGGCCTTTCTCTCCGTGGCTGGTTCAGCTCTCATTTAGCCACCGTTTTAGAAAGCTGTAGTCTGTCACCGCCTCAATACACCGGCCACTACTGCTGCTGAATGTAGAGTTAAGCTGCTGGGCAGATGGTCATTCTCCGCATTTGAGTCATACATTAGACCTGAACCACAAAACATCTCAAAGGCTCAGCAAATAATTTCAAGTTATCCTCAAGGTAATTTATATGCAATTACTGGTGGTGGTGTAATACCTATTCATATTACTCCTAACAACCTCAGGGCCTTTCCACCTGTGGCCTATCAGGGCCTTTCCACCTGTGGCACAGAGCCTCTCTCTCTCTGTGCGGCCTATCGTGGCCTCTATCACTATCCGGTAGGGGTGTAACGATTCACTCGTTTTCTCGATGCATCGATTACAAACCCTGACAATGCAATGCATCGATCTTGAAACACTATAGCGATTCAATGCTTTCAAAATATATACACATTAAATTACTACAAGCAGGAATTAATGGAGACCTTGAACAGTGTTCGTGTCCTCGCATCTCTCCACTATTTACCGCCTGCTGTGACTGTCACAGGATTGCGCTCGCACTCCGTTCGTCTCACTGACATGTTTGAGCAGCTGATGTGTGATCTCTTCTTAGTACTCGTGGCCAGTAATGCTAAAGTGAAGCAGTTTTGCTTTTCTGTAGTTTTTCAGTGGCTCTCGGTCATACCGACGACGACATTACCTGAGCAGTCGAAGGCTGCGCATTTATTGCATGGACGGAGCAAAAATGTAAGTATCTAAAGCATACGCACAGTTCCATTGAATGATAAATGTGTTTTAACAATGTC